ATTCTCTGCTCTTGAACTAGGGTTTGTTTTGCTTTTGTCTTTTTTCTTTTTTTTTTTGCAATAGCCAAAGAAAAGCTTCCCCCGTTTTCGGATCTGAGCCAGGCGCTGCTTTTAAAGATCAGCACAAATTAGGGAAGTCTCTCAGTCTTGTTGGCTCCAGTAATTATTTTGCATTATCTTGTGTGCATAAGGGGAGATGAGTTGGATCTTTTGGAAAGCAGGGAGGGACAGGGTTTGGCTGATAGTGAAACGCTCGTGGAGGGGTCCTGTGAATGGAGCTGACAGTGTGTCCGGAGGAGAAAAAGCTTCCTCGAGAGGTTCCTGAGATACGTATCATAGGCATAGCGCAGCGTTGCACGGCTTGTGGGAGGGAGGGGAGCGCTGTGGCGAGAGACCAGCCCCTCAGACAGCAGGCTGTGAATTGCCACCTTTAATCCAAAATCCCGCTGTTCACCCGAGTTCCTAGAGTTTACAACGTGAGCCTGCAATCTGAAAGGAGATGAAGTATGAGTCAGTGGTTAGAGCACAGACCTGGCACTGGTCTAGAAGGGTTTGCGTTCAGATGTGGGGCGAGATACTTCACCTCTGTGACCTGTTCCCCCGTGGGAAAATGACACGTACCCGCTGCACGGTTGTGATCCTGTAACGGAAGGCAAGTTATATATTCACTTGAGAGTTGGATCCTTCTGCGTCTGAAAATGTGCACGTGCCTCTTGGAAAAGAAATGGGTGGGGTTTAAATGTGCAGTGAGATCTCTGGGCGGATGACCAGGTTGTGAACAGGCTTGGTTAAGGGGAAAGACAGTGATCCCAGGCGTCCTGCCATCCCAGGTGTGCTTGCAGGTGTTTTGCTAACCATGTTGTTCTAGCTGAATCGAGTAACTATATTCACTCTGTTTAGTCTCAGTTGGACATATATTCATCTTCACGTCCTGCCCGAAACGTTTGTGTAGCATCGATTAATCTGTCACTTTTCACTCAGAGGTAGCTGCATTTCAGTGGGCATTTGAAGCATCTTGCAACTCACTTTGGTGCCTTTTGAGAGGAGGTAGCATATGAGGAAATCCAGAGTGCTATATAAACTACCAGGTCATAAGGGTCTCTTTATCTGCTACTGAAATGCACCCACTTCTGGGGAGGAAACTGAGCAGCTGTTCAACAGCACAGAGCAGTGCTCTACTACTCAACAGTTAAGGACTGGAAAATGAAAAGTAATACTGCAGTCAGGAATTTCAGTGTCAGCAACCAGAACAGGATTGCCGGAGATGCAGTTAGGCAGGACAGCATGGTTTAACTTCCAAACTCTTCAAAGCATCCCGTCTTAAAAAGGCCAAAAAGCTCATCCTTTTATTTCGTACCAGAAAGCTGGCACCTCCAGCAGGAAAGCTCCCCCTGGAGCAATGCAGGGGTTTTGCTTCAATGCAAAGCCTTTAGAAAGCAATACTGTCCATGCTGTGCCCTGAAACTCTTACAAGTTGGCAGCTGCTTTGTCCTTTAATTTTTTTAGCTCGTTGCCATGCATGTATTAATATGTAGTCCGGTCCCGTGTGTGCTTGGCTAATCAGCAGCTCTGAATTGTTCCTGTGAAGCTTGTAAGGGAGCATGGAAAGTTATCCAGAATTCAGATGTGCCCAGCTTGACATCAGAGCTGCAGCCTGGCCATGGCAGACCCAGGGTAGGGCTGTCCTGGGCAGCCCTGACTCCGCAGATGTCAGGTGGCCCCAAACCACAGAGCTGCATCTGGGTCCCGCTGTTCCTCTTCCTCCGCTCCATCCAAACATGGTGAATCTAGTGAGCAAAGCAGGGAGCGGGGGGGCAGGACTGCAGCGTGCTGAACCTGCTTTGGCATGTGTCCTTGGTCATGTCACTTCAGCTCTCTGTGCCTCAGTTTCCCTCTCTGTAAAGCAAAGCGTTCTGAAGAAGAAGAGCCGTACGTATTGGTAAAACCACATGGACAGGACAGATCTTTACAGCCGTTTGGCTCAACGAAGCTGCATGCACAAGCTAGAAAGGCCTGCCCTTTGACCGTGTGAATTCTCTTCGCTGTTGGGAAAACCCAGAAATGACGTTTTAAGTCAGTAAAACCTGCAGACCTGAAGAAGCAGGGAAAGCCGGCCAGGGAAGCTCTTGTGCTCACTGCAGCGGCTGCAGTCAAAATGAACCGGTCACTTCTGCCTCTTTTTAGGAGGGAGGAGGAATTATTTGGGGGAAAAATGTTTAGGAAAAGTTACCGGTTGAAGTTGAAAATGTTATCGAGAGGGAGAAATTTGGCAATTTTTTTCTGCCAGGAGGCTGGGCAGAAAAATGCTCCTAATGTTGTTTTCTGTACACAGAGCAGGGCAGCAAACTGCAGCCCTTCCTGAGTGGCCTAGTTGTCAGAGCGTTTGACAGGGTCATAAACCCATTTTACAAGCTGGGGAACTCCAGCACAGAGAAACTAAGGAATTTATTCTGTGTCTCACAGTGAGTCATTGTCAGAGCTGGAGTCACATCTGGATCCTGGGTCCCAGTCCTGTGCTCTGACCTCTAGCCCAATCCCCTTTCTCTGTCTCTGAACTCTGTGTATCTTTCTGTTCCTCTCACTCTCTCCCCTCCTTTTATGTTCTTTCCTCCTCTCCTCTTTTCTCCCAGTCCGAAACTGGAGACCAAGAAACCTGCGATTCAATTTTTAGGTGCAGCTTTTCCTCGAGATTGTGTTCCGGCTTGTTACAGCTCAGCTTGGAACGGCTGAGCAAACTTCGCCTGCGGGGCAGAGGGGGAAAGGACATGATTTTGATTAATTAAACTCCTGTCAGGTTTCACTGGGTTCCTACTGAAGCCTGTGGCCAAATTCCTGTTGACTTCGGCAGGAGCAAGGTTGAACCTAGACAGAGATCCTAAGTAAAAGAACGCGTGCAGGAAACTGCAGTCTCGTTACAGCCCTGCCTGCTGTCCCCCTACCAAGCGGGGACTGGGACTCAGCATCCCGGTCTGACTGCGCTTTGCTGTCTGGGCTTGGGTGTCAAATCATAAGGAGCTGAGGGCCCCATTTAGTTTGAAGAAAGGGGTGTGGGCCAGGGTGTGCCGCTAGGGTTGTGTACACGCCACAATGCGTAGGGAGCGTTTGCTGCTTCCAAGGGGAAGTTTTGCACAGACATCAAGGATGCAGGAACCAAATGTTTTGCTGCTTGGCACTGGATCCCTGCTTGATGGGCACATTCATCCTCTGCTCCTCTTCTGGGCCAGTTTGTTATAACAGTACAGTAGGGTCGATATTAAGTCGCATGAATAGGGGATGGGAGATCTTGCCCTCCTGGACACTGTCTCAGCCTGCCTGCAGACTCTGGCAGACATCACTGCATTGCTTCTGCTGGGCTCTCATTTGGAAGATGATCACTGCAGCCCAGTGGGCTATGAATGTACTGTTTGAATGAGATCTTGGTAGCATCAGGTGGGCTGGGTGTCACACAGCTCTGCCCTGGGCTTTCTGCAGATCACTGCTTGCTAAAGGTATCAGATCCATTGTAAGGACCTGGCTGGACTGGGATCGCCCAGCGGGTGTGCAGTGGTAGCCCCCACCCTGCAAACCCAGGTGGCTGGGTTTGTCCCTTGTCCCAAGCAGTAAAGGCAGATCCAAGCAATTCCACTTGGTCTTGGAGGAGGCAGCCCTGTTGTGATCTTTGAAGGCAGCGTGTGGAGGTGGGGTTTTACCTCTTGATGGCTCTGGTGACAGCTTGTCTTGACACCTGCCTTTAGTTTGGTAGTGTTGTAGCGCGGTTGTAGGTGAGGGCTAACAATGGGCGGGTGAGGGCATGTGTGTCTGGAGGGAGGGCTAAGGCACTTTTCTCTTGCGCCTGAAATCTTACATGGGAATCTGGATTCGGTGACAGATAAAACCTGTGTCCCATGAGGGGACCTTTGTCCGTAGCAGGAGCCTGTGGTCTCATTTTAGGACTGCTGGCTGTGCCAGCTGGGTGACATGGGGCAGAAGTGGGTGGGGGCTCAGGGCTGGAGTTTGGGCTTGATGTGTGCTGGCAGAGACTCCTGTGCAAGCCCAAGTCAGGAATCAAGCAGTGGGGTTTCAAGTTGTTGTGAATGGGAACTGTTCCTGGCTCCTCCCTGCGCAGCGTTCGGCTGGAAGGAGTTGGGCAAAGACTAGCCGTGAGCGTGGGCTGATCTCAGCTGGGAGGCTCTGTCAGTCGGGAGCGCTCACAGGAGCGTGACCAGCTCATGGCGTGCTCAGACAGGGAATCCAGCAGCTGTGCCCATTGGAAAAGCACCGGGTGTCGCTCAGGCAGTATAGCAGTGTGGTCAGATTGATTTAGGATTCCCTGTGCTCTCAGAGCCGGGTTGGCCTCTTTCGCTGGGGGTTGTAAAGCGCAGGATGGGACTTTGTTCTGTACATGCCCCAGTCTGGCCAGTGGGTATAGCGCTGGTGCTGAGAGCTGCCTTGGGTGGACACCAGCATCTGATTTGGTGTTGACTGAGCTCATCGGCAGGACGAAGCACCTTGGGTCAGTGGGCTAAGCAGGGATAGATCAGCCACTGCAGCATCCTCTTAGCAAATACGTGGCTGCAAGGGCTGGGACAGTGCCCTAGGTGTGTTCTCTTCTCCCAGGGAAAAGAAAGGGTCAAATCAGCCTGAGCTTCCTGCCCCAAGAGACTGGCATGGCCGGATGGGGGAGCCAGCTGCTCCTGGTGCATAGAGATTAGTGGTAACAGCCCGGTGCTCATGGACACCTCTGCCATTCATTACATGCCATTTGGTGGAAGCTCGGGTGGATCCTTGTAGTAATACATGTTGGCATGGGCTAGCCCTTGTGTCGCCCCTATAATAAGGCAGCCCAGATCCATTTGATGCTTCTTCTAAGCAACCTTTAGACAATGCTGCTGGAGGACCCAGGTGTCCAGGGCTGGTCCAGTCCCGTCCCTTTGACCAGTGCTAGGGTCTACGCCGGATGCAGAGGGGTTGCTTTGCATTTTGCTCAGGAGCTAACAGGCATGTCTCTTTGTTGTTAACAGCGTGTCCACGATGGCGAGCGTGCTGTCCAGGCGCCTGGGGAAGCGGTCTCTGTTGGGTGCCCGTGTCTCCGTGCCCAGCTCCTTGGTGGATGGGATGCTGGTGACGACTTCAATCCCCACCTTGCAGGCAGAGCTCAGCAGGGCGTCTTCCCACCTGGTTTCGTATGATGACGGTCAGTGCAGAGAGCACTCAGAGGAGGGCAGCAGGGCACCTGCCTTCCCGAATCCAAACCTGAACCTGAACCCGAACCGCCTGCAGCTCCACCCAGGACAAAAGGTATGTAAGGTGGCTGCAGACCAGCAACATGAATGCCATGGGCTTGCATCCTGCACCTTGCTCACCTATGATTCAGGGGCTTGGGGAGTGGCATCAGAAGTGTTCACCACTGTGGCTCAGGACTGAGACCTGAGTTTCTGGGTTCAGTCCAGCCTGGCTCTGTAATGACTAGAAGCCACTAACCTCTGCTAGCCCATGTGGAATGGGATTGATGGGCTCCCACTAGGCAGGCGTCTCCATCAGCAGCACAGTCTGGGTAGAGATGCTAAGGACTGAGCCCAGAGACCCAGACTTTGCCTTCGACATCTGGGACGTGGACACACAACGCAGTAACTGAAGTTACCTCAGTTTTTAGTCCATGGTAAGAAATGGACACACCAGCTCTCCCAAGCGCTGCGCCTGCAGAATGCCCCCAGTGGCAGGGCATCCAGTTTGCATTGAGCAAAGGGCTGTCCCAGTATGAAATAAGAAGGGCAGTGGAGGCAACCAATAAGCTGGTTTCATTTAACAGTGAGGTACAGTTACCTCTCACTCTCTGAGAGGTGTCTTTACCTTGGCTCGGTTCATTTACACACATATAAGGCTGTGCGTCATGTGTCCACTGCACTTTTCTTACAAAGTCAGCTTACTCTACAGCAAGGGTCAGTAATCTGTGCCCCACAGGCTAGATCCAGCCTGCAAAGCCATTGGATCCAGCCTGTGGATATGAGGCTTTGGTGGCGGGGAGAAGTAGCGGCAGCAGCAGCTGGGTCTTCGCACCCCCTTGGCCACACATCCCTAACCTGAGCTGGTCCCCCACCTGGCCATTCCCACCCCCGGCCTGGAGAGAGTGCTGACCGCCGTTCTGCCCCAGGGGCTGTGTGCGCTCGAGGGGATACTCTCTGGGGTGGTGGGCAGGTCCTGCTCTGTGCTTTACAAAGCACAGCATCAGTATCCAGTGCGGCAGGAATGATGCCTCCTTGCAGTAACACGCAGCCAAGCATGGCTGTTGGAGAGGAGCAGGACTACTGTGCACACAGCGCCCTGGCCCTGGGTTCTGCCTAGAGAGCTGTAAACCGTCTTCTGGGCAGATCTCATAAAACGCAGTGTAAATAATGTCCCTGTTTGATTTTCTGGCTCATGCACAGCACCGTACCAGAAGCTTGTGGAGAGGGCGGATTCCTCCTGCTCTCTGGTCTTAAACACAGGACAGTGAGCGCTGTTTTCTCCAATATGCCTCAGCACTGGGCCACTTTTTCCCCCACCGTGCTGCTAGAAATAGCATAGGAGTAGCCAATCCAGGGTGGATGCTGCATACTCGCACCAGGACAGAGGACTGTGCTGTGTTACGTGCTCGGCAGCATGTGCAAATGCTAGGACATACGTGTGCTGCTGCTCTCTGCTTACCTGGTGTGGAAAACCCCACGCCTGATCCCTTTGACCCTGGGCCAGTCACTTCAGCTCTGTGCTTAGATTTCTCCAGCCAGTCTAAGCTGACACATTTTCTCCCCACCACTCAGCACTGTGCAGTTTTATTATGTACACATCCTATACAGGCCTGGCCATAGCCTCCTCTCCCTCCTAGTACTTCTGTAGAGGGACACACTCCTGTAAATAGCCACAAACACTGGTATACACCAGTGCGGGTTAGTTCAGCACCGATACATTCATATTACTGAAACGGGATCCAGAAGTAAGCAGTAGAAACAGCCTTTTAGGTTATTGGGAGGAGATGGGGGTCTCTCTTGGGGTGAAAACTGGTGTATCTCCACTCCTCCGCTCTGTGGAGGTGCTGAGAATAGACCAGTTGTGGCATGGCTGATAGGTCTTCCCTGCTAGACTCAGCTAGTGATGGAAAGAAGAATGCAGCTATGGTCTGGTTTTGCCTGCTCTGGCGTGGTGTGTGTGGGGGTCTCTCTCTTCTCTTGTCATTTCTCTTTTCCTTGATGGCTTCCCAGTCCTGTCCTGCTGGGAGCTTGATGCTCTCTCCCAAGGAAATGTGCTTTTCCCATCACTCCCATCTCTTTTATTTTGTTCCCATTTGTGATCACCCTGGATTGTGAGCTCAGTGGGACAGGGGCTGTTTCTGCACCTTGTAGCTATACAGCATTGAGCACAAAGGGCCTGAGCTCTACCCAGATACCTTGGGGATACCTCAGGGGACAGTCCTGGCAGAGGACAGCACTGATTTGCTTCCCTTTTGTGCCTGTAGTTTAAGGGGTCTGAGTTGAGTTTCCTGCTTGTGGGGAGATGCTACAGAGCATTTTCCCTTCTGGACTTCTCCACGCCCTGTGCTGCAGAGCCTGTATTGACCGAAATGAAGTCATGTCCACTTTATGTCCACCCTGAGTTTGGCTCTAGGGCTGTATAGGACGAGGGAGTTTTGCCTGCCTCCTCACTGCAAAGTGGACAGGCTCCAGCCTTGTTAAAGTGAAACCCAGGCTCCAGACCCCTTCAAGAACCATCCAGCCCAGGTCAGAGCATTTTCTGAGTGGTTGGTAGTGCTGAGGGGAGGGGGTTAAGGCTACAGCCAGGTAGCAGCCTAGGTTATCTGTGCGCTGAAGACATACTCTGCCTGTTCCCAGGACAACTGCCCCCAGCCCTGGGCAGGGTCTCTAGGCGCTGTGCTGTTATACCCTCCTATTTTTTGCTGAGTTTTTCTGTATCACGTGCACCAGATGTTTCTCTGTGAAGTGCTAACATCTGACTTTGCATTAGAACCGTTCCACAGCTGCACAGAACCTCATGCTTGTCATGAATGCTTTGAACCCCTGACCGTGGGTGTTGAACTAGACAACCTCCAGCGGTTCCTTCCAACCCTGTCTTTCTGGGATGTTATGACTAACCCTGGAGCCAGTTGGAGCTTCCTGGTGACAATGGGGTTCGAACACAGGCCCTCGCACCCTCACAGCACAGGTTCCTGCTGCTAAAGGAGACTCTCCTTTTACTGTACAGAGCCTGACGCGCTGCTGAGCAGTTCTGAGTGAGAGGGTAAGTGAGGGGTGGGTGTATCTCTGTAATACTCCAGCACAGGCCCTAAAGTATGTTTGTATTCAGACATTCAGATTCAGACATTCTCACCCTCTGCCTTGGGGGGCTGGACTTCATAACATATTCTTCAGCCTTTTGTCTAGGTAAGTTTTAAGGGGGCTTTGTCCAGCTTGGAAACTTCCTTCCCTCACTTTTTGAAAAAATGAAACCCTCCCCCATTATTTAACATCATGGCAGGAGGCTGAAACTGGGGAGCAAGGGAAGCCAGAACATACCCTGATTTTTCCCCCCCATTCCCAGTGCAAGCAGCCTTCTTTGTTTCACATTCTGTTTCCAGTCTCTTTTCCCCTCTAGGTGTAATGCTCCAGTGTAGTGCAGCAATGTTTGGGGGTTGGTTTTTTCTCTCTCGTTGGCATGTTTCTGTTTAAATGTCGTAAGGTGTTATTGTTGCAAAGAACTCACACTTGGGATAAATCTGATGCATCAGAGCCCCATTTTGCTGCCAGAGAAACTGAAAACAAAACTCACGTTGGGTTCAGGGAAGCACGATCCTTTTCCACCTGTTTCCCAGGTGCTCGTTCTCTCATTTCCCAGGTGCTCTGAGGAATGCCAGCGCCTTTGACTTCACCCCGCCGGGGGGGCCCTGTGTTAGGACGCTAATTCCATGGGGAAACGTGGTGTTGCAGCAGTGTTGCCTCAGCTCTGCTCGGATATGGAGACTGTGTTGGTGTCCCACAGGCACTCAGGTTAGGTCCTGAGATGGGCGACAGCTGCTAAGGTTGTTTCAGCTACAGCAATGTTGTGCTGGGCCATGGGACCTCGGACGGAAAAATACTGGCCTTCGTGCCTTGCCCACTGATAGGGTCCTGGCAGCAAAGGCTCTGTGTGGGGAAGTGACTAGAGCTGGATCCTGGTAGCAGACGGGACGTAATGCTGACCAGTCGCGCTTTGTCCTTGCCTAGGTTTACGTCACCTATAACGGTCAGGAATGCGCCAGCCTCGTCGAGCAGCATGATCCTGGCAGTGACGAAGTGAAGGTACTGCTCCTGGAGCAAGGACTGCACGCATGCTGGAAGCTAGAGGATGTGAGGGTGGCTGAGATCCAGAGGTCACCTCCTCCTGCCCTGCCAATGGACCAGAGCCCTACCCCCACCCCAGGACCAAGCCAGCGGTCTGTTTCTAGGAATATCGATGTACCTAAGAGGTAAGTGTCCTCGGACAGCCGAGTTTCCTCAGCTTTGCAGACTTGCTGCGTCGCTGCAGGAAGGAGCCTCTTGCCTGGTCAGAAGCAGGGCTTGTACATTGGTTACTGACAAAATCATTCCTTTCACTGTCCTAAATGAGTATGTAGATGTTACACTCCATCTCAGAGATGGCTGCAAGTCCATGCTGGGCGAGGTGAGCCTTGAATCCAGCTAGGATCCTCGTGTAAAGCAAAGCAGATTTAGATCACAGAAAGTTTCCTGTCTGAGAGCAGCAGAACCGTGGCACCAGCTGCCCAGGGGAGCCAGAGTCTCCTTCCCTGGAGGTTTCCAGGCAGAGGCTTGGCAGCATCTGTCAGGGTTGGAGTAGGGACAGTGCAGCCTGTGTCTGGGCAGGGAGTGGGACTAGAAGAGCCTTGAGGGGCACAGACTGAGTTGAGCTCTGCAGCCCTGCTTGCTGCAGAGTGGGGCAGGGAGATCCCAGGTAGAGTTTTCTCTTGGGGTCCACTACCTCGCTGCCAGGCGCTGCCTTTCTGCCAGTGGTGGCAGCTGCAGGTAGCATTTCTCTTCCACGGTCCCACACTGGCATGAGGCTCTGGCATGGGTAACGGGCTTGTTCTGTATAGCGGAGTGTGTGGGATGCCCCGGGAAAGGCCAGAGAAGCAAGCAATTATCTGCAAAGCCCAGTGGACCCAGCAAGCCTGGCTAACACCTTTGGCTGCATTTTTTCTGCCCCAGGGACTCTCTGTTTGCAGGGTATCTTTGAATTCAGCCCTCTACTGGTCTCCTGAGCATCCATTTTCCCTCCCAGCCAGCAGCTTTCATGTTCCTCTCTCCCGCACAGAAAGTCCGATGCTGCTGTGGAAATGGATGAGATGATGGCAGCCATGGTGCTGACGAGCTTGTCCTGCAGCCCCGTGGTGCAGAGCCCACCCACAAGCGACAGCAGCATCCCCGGTGAGTTCCCTCGGGCAGCTGGACATGGGGCAGGGTGGAGGGGCCATAAGATGGGCCTGCCTCTCTGAGCCGGCAGTCAGGGATGGGATTGCTTTCTTGCTGTCCAAGAAGCATGGTGAGAAAAACTGCTCCCCTCAAGCTAGACACTCTTGCAGGTAACAGGGGTGGTGAAAACGGAGTTGTTTGACGGTAGCCTGGTGCACTCTGGGAGCTCCCACCATGCTCTCTGTTAGTAATGTCACACTCACCACAGAACTTGGCTGTGGAAGGGAGCCAGCGTTTGGGCGCAGGGACACGGAGAGGCAGCTGGAGCTCTCCAGGCTGGTATTCCTAGACCGAAGGAGTAGCAGTAATTTGGCCTGAAGGCTGTGCTGTGGGGATCGGGATCAGCTGAGCCATGGCCAGGTGTATCCGTAAGGATGGGGCATGATCATCCACCTAGGAGAAGAGGGGGCTGGGTGGGGGTTACTGCCCTGGCTCTCCTGAGCCCATGAGGCTGCAGACACTGCCTCTGCCCTTCATGAGGAGGGACGGAGCGAGGTTTCTAAAGGGCTTCCCTCTTCCTTCCAGAATTGCCTCTGGCTTGGCTCTGCCCAGCTCTGGCCATCTGCTCTTCAACCAGCAGCTGCTTCTCAGCAGTGGGAGATGGAGCTGTTTGTTTTAGCTGCAAAGGGGAAGCAGAGCTTGGTGTTGCCTGGACACTGCTGGCCTCAAGTGGCTTCCCAGTGACGTGGAATAAGATAGGGAAGGACCTAAGCCCAGGGGGAGCGGACTCTGGAGAGCAGGGGTAGTTGACTCTTTGGATCTGATCTGAGAGGACGGGCTCAAGGGGCTTCCTCTGAAGGATCTTGGACCCTGGAGAAGTCTTTATTTTGCACATGCTAAGTGCAGCTGGCTAGGGAGGGCTGGGCAGGAGGAGGCCACCTCCCAGAGCAACAGGTGCTGCATCTGACCTGTGCCTGCCCTGTCTGGACTGAGGGGACATAGGATATTGGCAGCTGACAGGTGTTGTCCTGTCAACTTCATTGGGATCTGATTCCCCCTTCCTTGGGCAAGTCGGATAACCTCTGCACCTCAGTTTCCCCATCTGTGAAACATAACCCATGGCCAAGAAGTATTTTATTATAGAAGTGCTAAGTACTGTCGTACTTCCCTTGGCTTGTGTTCTCTAGTATTCTCCAGCCAAAAGTTTGCCAAACACCATGCAAAGAGCACATGTGCACACAGTGTGGGAAAAGCGGCAGGCCCTGATTCGGATCTCATGCTGCATTAAACGCAGGTTGGCTGAGATTTGGCTCCAGGTTACGTTTTGAAGGGGGAAATGCCAGGCACCGTGCTGGCACCCGCTGGCCACAGGCTTTCTGTGGTGGTGCTGTAGCATGCCATGGTGTGTGGAAGATAGCAGCAGAGAGCATTGGGGTATTTCCTAGAGAGGGATCTTAGTGGGGCCTCACCACGTGACCCCCTGGATGCTTAGGTCTGGGTGTCATGAGCAGAGGAGAGTAGGATTGTGGCTTGAAGAGCTGAATTCCTCCAAAATCAGGGTGCTCAGGTCCTCCCCTTTCTCTCATGCTGAATCGTTCACCCAGATCATTAGGCTTAATAGAATGGGCTGAACCAGCTGAGAACAGAAGGAACTTGCTTTCCAGATGGGAGTGTTGTGCTGAGAGCCTGGGCTCAGTTACTGGCACGTGTTGCAGGTCGTCCTGAGCTGCTGGCCTAGTCGGGAGGCCACGTGTTCCCAGAGAGGGAAGGGGGTGTCCCCTGCCCTCCTGACACCATGTACGGCAGGTTGGCAAGACCTGTTCCAGGAGACATGAACTCGGGAGCACTGAGCAGCCAGCTCCCTTTTATAGCAGCAGCCCCATTCCTGAGGAGTCACCAGGATCAGGGTGGTTAAAAATAGGAGCCTGCAGCCGTGGGAAATGTGTACACCCTGCTGCCAGGGCTGGCGCAGGCTTGCTGTCTCCTCTCAAGAGGCCAGAAGGTTGGGTTTCTGCCACGGGGGCCCAGCTCAGCTCGGAGAGATGGGAAACAGAAACGGGATGAAAGCAGAGCCATCGGACTTTCCCTTTGACCCGCTGCCGCTAGAGTTACAGCCAAGCTCTGCCAGGAAAGGTCCTGTGCAGGGGGAAGCGGTGCCCTTGAGTCTTGCTGGGTGTCCCTGAATAGTGCCACCGCCTTTGTGCCCACAGGGAATAACTGTTGCACTAGAATCTCTCATCTGCCATCTGGGGGCAAGCTTGTCTTCGGCTGCATTGTGTATCTGCGCCTCGGGGAGTAAACCTCCGTGTCAGCATAGTTCTGGCTGGGCCAGTGCTGATGTGAGAATCATCCTGGCCAGGACCTGTAGGTGCAGAAGCATTGGGAAGGGAAGAGGAAACTTCCCCCTTGTCTTTCAAGCAGATGCTGTGAGGGAGGTGCTGTTATCCTTGCTCACCAGAAGGGGATGCTGGGGCAGAGGGAAGCAGCATGACTTGCCCAGGGCCATGCAGTGAATCACTGACAGAGCTGAGGCTGGAACCCCGACTCCTGGCTCCCAGTCTGGAGCACAGTGGGGAGAAGGGGGCACTTGACACATGCTTTTTTTGATCCTCAGGCCCTTCGCTTGCACTTTGGGCCCATGCTTCCTGTTTTCATTGTGGCCACATTATCCTTAGTGCAAGTGTTGTGAGCTCTCTGTGCTTGATCCTCAGAGGAAGCGAGTCTTCTGCAGGGCCCAGCTCTTTGGGTTGAGTAGTAGACACCCAGCCTTGCTGCTGGAGGCCCGTGGTCCAGTCCCAACCGGTGGCCACAGTGCAGACAGGCTGGGGAAATTTAGGGGGTTATCTGCTGGTTTTAATGCCCATTCTCTTCCCTCTTGGCTCAGCATCCCGAGCAGCCTGTGACTCATGGAAGGAGAGTGGTGACATCTCAGACAGCGGCAGCAGCACCACCAGCGGGCACTGGAGTGGAGGCAGCGACATCTCCACTCCGTCACCCCCACACCCTGAAGCCAGCCCAAAGTACTCCAGCGAGGCTTTCAGCTCCTCACAGGCTGACGAGGGCTTTGAGATGGACTCAGATCCCTTTCTCCTTGATGAGCCTGCCCCACGAAAGAGAAAGGTACTGAGGGCAGGTGGTGCAGGGAGGCCTGGCCTGGGGTGGCAGTGGGGATGGAGAGTGAGGTGGGTTAGATTCTGCTCTGTGAGCGCCCAATCCTGGGGTCTGAGCTGGGAGCTGCACTGGGGAGTGAAACTGGCTGGGGAGGTGTCTTGCACAGGTTTTGCAAGCCATCCCTTGAGGGGAAGGAGCTGGGGGTGGGAGGTGGGAAGGGAGGTACAAAGAGGTTGGCAGGTGGGACCAGATGACAGGCCAAGGGGTCAGCTGCCTCTCTCCCTAAGTCTGGTAGCAGCACAGACTTTCACTTTCTTGTTCAGTCAGCTGCACTCCCTACTCTGCCTGATGTTCAAGCCAGAGCAGGGAGCCAGGCACCAGCCAGGACAGTGCTGTACACACCCACTTAGGCTATACTGCAGTGCACTGCAGTTACCAACAAAGCCCCTCTGCAGCGGCAGAACCCTCCACTCTGCTGGCAGAGCTTCTCTCACCTGTGCCAAGTGGAGCAAGGCCTCTGCCTTCCCAGAGTGCATGTGGCGCCTTGGGGCACAACTCCTTTGTGGAGGTGGATAGACAGGGGCATGTACATGCTGGCAGCTGCTGTTGATCACCAGAAGTGTTTCTCGCTGAGGCAGGTGAGCGCAGACACAGCCCCTGAGCTGCTTCTTGGCTCAAGTTTTCTCTGTTTGTGCACATGTGCCAGGTGGACCAGGGAGCATTGATTATTGGAGAGGCTGAGGGGAAGGACTATGGGCAGCAGATGGATCGGATGCCAGCTGCTGGGTAGATGGAAGTGAGAGGGAAGAGGGGGCAAGACTGAGGCAAGGAAGTAGAGCCAGAGACCATCCCTGTCTTCCTCTGTTCCCTTCTCATGCCTGGATGGAGCTTGGTGGCTCTGGAGTTCGGCAGGGACAGGGAGAGCGGGGAATGTGTGTTGGACAGATGGGTCCAAGCCGCATCCTCACGTGGCACATTTCCCTTGGGCGAGGTCTTCATTACAGGGGCTGCTCTCTGAGCTGGGCTGGGGAGTGACTTCCCTGTGACATGGGCCTGTCTTTCTCCTAGAACTCCGTGAAGGTGATGTACAAGTGCCTGTGGCCGAACTGCGGTAAAGTGCTGCGCTCCATCGTGGGGATCAAGCGTCATGTCAAGACCCAGCACCTTGGGTAAGGCCTGCACTGCCAAGGAACTTGCAGAACCCAATTTAGGCTGGTGCCAGGCAGGAGGAGGAGTTCAGAGGAGAGGGAGGGGACAGTCAGTGGTGGAAAAGTCCTGCTAGATCATCGAGACAGTCTCTCTGCAAGGGAAGGGATAGCCTCCCACACATGCTGACCATTGCTTCGTGTGTCTAAAGCTCCCAGCACAATCACAAAAAAAAATGGGGAGGGGAGCAGAGGTCTGCCTGCCAGGGACCTGACAGTTTCCTAGCCAGCAGCACAGACAATCATGTGGCTCATATCCTGTCCAGCCAGCTCTGAGTTCCCAGCCTGAATGACTAGGTGCCTACTGACCACAGGGACAACTAGGGGGACCTTTGGTGTGACCCAGAGCCAGGCTTGGATACATAGCAAGACACCTTCATTTTTCTGCTACATCAGCTCTATGCTTGGTACAGTTGACCCCTGGTTCTCTTTGGGACCTTTGGACAGGTTGACATGCAAATAAATAATATAATGTAATATAATAATAAACTAATAATAAAGAGGAGCTCCCCTCCTCCCCTTGAGGAGCAGAGATTGGAGGGACTACCTGCTCACAGGGCAGTTAAAATGGACCTCTTGGGAGTAAGGGTGTCTTTCTGTGCGCAGGGAAAGCACTTTGGAAGCGGGTAAAGCTAAACCGCACTCTTCATGCAGAATACGAGTGGCTACACCAGTGCAAAATGGCTGTCACACTTGGAATTCATCCCTGAGTTGATTGCACAATAGCGTCCCTGTGCAGACGAGCCCTCAGCTCTGTGCTTTCAGCAGCAAGTGAAACAGCGGTTCTCAACCAAGACGCTGCGAGAACCTGCCAAAGGTGCTGCGATGCTGGCATCATCAGCCCTGGCATGGGGTGGAATTGCCCTGTGCACCCCTGCTTTCAGGAAGTATGTCAGAGCTGAACTGAGAAGCAGCTGCAACAGAAAGGCGCGCTGCCTGCATTGCGTCATGGCAGCAGGCAAACCGTTTCTGCTGCAGCTCTCTCCAGTTTGGTCCCAGTGGGCCTCCTGAAAGGGAGGTGTGCAGCGTGGTTCTACCTGCTGGCAGCAGCATTTACCTCCAAACTGCCACAGGGTGAAACTCCACTGAAGTCAAAGAGCTGTAGTTGCCCTGTTTGACCGTGGCCTTTTTGTGGGGTGTTGGGGCCCCCTAGCGGAGATGTACGGTTGGTTGTTTGGCTGTTGCATCGGTGCAGGACGGGACAGGTAGGATACTGAAGACCCATAGCTCCATTTCCTGTCAGTCAAGAGCCTAAAATAAAGAATAATCAATTTTCTGCTCCAGGCAGAGATCTAGCTGCCACCACTGGCTATTGTGACATAGATGTAGGGGGCAGCCTCTGTGTGGCCCATGACAGATCGGGAAGGGAGCAGGGAGCACAGCCCAGATAGGGCAGGGAGCAGAAAGCAGAGCAGCAGATAGGGCAGGGGAGAGGAACTGGAGTGGCATTGGGGGTGGGTGCAGGGGTGCACCTGCCAAAAAGGTTGGCCCCACAACCACAGATACTGACACGAGCCACAGAGTGAGCGGCACTTTGGAGTTGGGTAAAGCCATAGGATGATATAGGGAGAGGCTCCCTCAGACCAGAGCAGGACATGCAGAAGAAGCCAGCATCCCATCCAGCCTTGCAGAAATTGCAGCCTAGGACTGAGAGGCTGGGTCAGCAGGGCAGCTTTCTGCCTCAGCAATAACTTGCCTGCTGTCTGAGGCATAAGAACATGCTTGGTTTATCTGGACACCAGTTCCTTTTCGACACTTTCCTGGAATCTTTAGTTACAGCTGGGCAGAAAAGGCCTTTGAGAGCACAGCCCCAGGTACTGTCTGCACGGGGAATGAGCTTGAGACCTGGGGAGAGCTTTAGCCCCTGGGGTCATAGGTCTGAGTACTGGCACCTTCCAGACACGATGGAGAGGGGGTGGTGTTTGCCAGGATTAATGATTCTCGTCCTCTTAACTAACTGCAGGGATGGTGCAGACTCTGACCAGAGAAGGAGGGAGGAAGACTTTTACTACACTGAAGTGCAGGTGAAAGAAGAGGCTGCTCCAGAGTCTGCCCCCCACCCCAACTCTGCATCCTCACCCATCATCATCCAGCAGGCTCTGGCAGCCCCAACTCTGCGTCCTCACCCATCATCATCCAGCAGGCTCTGGCCAAGCCGGAGACCCTGGTGTTGGAACAGTCCACCTTGGAGTCTCACCTGCCAAGCAGTGCCCTCAGCCAGTCTGCCCCCAGCTCCTTCTGGCATATCCAAGCAGATCACGCCTATCAGGTATGTTGGGTTGGCCAGTCAAAGAAACAGAATGGAGTGGTGACACGTGGCATCTTCCTTCGTGGGGTACCTTTGCCTTCACATGTCTTGACCTACCTTAAAACCCTACTAAGAAACAGTTGGAGACTTGCAGACTCTTCTGGACCATATTAAATCATTTGTCCATTGAGTTCAACATCGTGCCTTTGGCAGTGAGCAGTGCCCGATGCTTCTGGGAGAATAATCTACCTCACCAGTTGTGCTTGGCAGGGGCCAGGGAATCTTCCTCCTGACCCCAGCAGAGGGTCCACAGATGTTTTGACTCCATGTGATGCTGTGGCTGGAATTGCTACCAGTGTTAGGAGTCTTAAAAGGATCCAGTGCAGGTTTCGAACATAGCTGCAGACTCTGACTCAACCTCCTGCTGCAGGGAGTTCCCCAGCTTGGCTGGGGGACACATGAAGGGTTTGCTTTTGTTGGTTCCACATGTCCTGCCCTTAGTTTCGATCCAGCTTTCCACAGTACAAAGCAGGGTGAGGGGGAACTTCATAATGCCTTGTAAATACATGCATTGTCCTCATGCCCGTGAAATGCTGCCTCTGACTCCTTTGTTCAGAATACCAGCAGATCTCTTTGGCTGTCCTCTGTAAAACATTGTCCTTCCCTTGCTGCGGGAACTGCCATTCTCTAGTTTCCAGCCGCCCTGGAGTTAGCTCTTTTGCCAGAATGCAGCATGCCCCTCTCTGCGTAAATAGCATGCCTGTTTCAGCTTTATCTGCCTGCAACAGTTGTACTGCATTAACAGCACACGTTTAGTTAAAGTGGTACATCCTCCCCACATATATACCCTTTGTGGATGCCAGTTTGCCAGCATGGGTGCATTTGTATCAGTACATCTTATCCCTAGATGGGAAAGGGAATTAGCTACCCTGGAAGAAAGTACCACTGTAGCCTCTCTCCATGGCAGGGCTTGGGATATCTCTACATCACTAATTATTGTATTCCTACCCAGCAATGAAGCCCCAGTCTCCGTTGTGATCCCTAGATGTTTTAATAGTACACACCAAGGAAGGCTGCTGTGCATATCCTTTCTTGGATAGTTTGGCAGCTTGCTCTGAAAGGAAAGATGATGCAGTCTCCCTGAGGTTGGGACACTAGCTGTGGAGGTGATAGCAAGCCTGAGGAGGGTTAGTTTCTGCCTGGGGGCACTCCAATTGTGCTGGAGCAGTCCTTGTAATCATAAATGTTGCTTCTCTGAAGGGTTAATCTGAAATCACTAATCCCTGTCCCCTCTGCCTTCTCTAGGCCTTGCCATCGATTCAGATTCCGGTGTCGCCACACATATTCACCAGCATCAGCTGGGCTGCGGCCACCTCCACCATCCCTTCCCTTTCCCCGGTGAGTCCTGCTGTCTGGACACCTGCTTTCTTCACAGCCCCCTCAGGAGGGGCTCAGGGCTGTGGGGGTGGAGGAGAAAGGGTTAAAGGGGGCACAAGTTAGCCTTTGTCACTGCCTGGCTTTCAGAGGCTAATGATGCTGCCTGTGTCAGGGGTGGCAGGTCAGATCTCTGCCTCATCACCCACTCCAGGGACATTGCACTGCTGCAGGTGTTATCTGAGCGTGGCAGGAGGGCTGTTCATCCTGCAGCAAAACTGGTCTCCAGAGGCTTCTAGCTAGAGAGTCTAGACTGAGTCCACCTGACTGGTAGGGCCTCTCCACTCTAGCAGCAGAGAGGGAAGACTGCACAGCTGGTTTGTGTGTGACGTGACTCTGGAATTAACTTTCCCATGTAGGTTCGAAGCCGGTCACTGAGCTTCAGTGAACACCAGCAGCCGACGCCAATGTTGAAGTCCCACCTGATCGTTGCTTCTCCTCCCCGGGCACCCAGTGGCACTAGGTAAGAGTCTGCAAGGGTTGGGACCGTGCACTCTTACCCTAGAAATAAGCAGTGAGGGATGAGCAACTGCACACATTCAGCTGGGTGTCTAATGTGAAATACAAATGCGGTTGTAGGAAGTAGGGATGAGAACCCAGGACTTCCCTAGGGCAGTGCCCTAAGCACCAGGCTAAAGAGGCAGGCTTGTCACAGCTCAGGGGTTTATCACAGCTCAGCCTCCTCTCAGTGTCCTCTCCAAATAGGCCTCATCAGTCAAGCCATCTTATTCTTACATGAAAAAATAACAGAGCAACCTGATATACCTACTATCCATCAAAGAGACAGATGTGGAGGAGAACACTTGCCTCATTATATGGGGCATAAGGTCCATGCTCATGATCTCCACCACGAGTGCTGCTCTGTGAGAGGATTACTCTTGATCCTGTAACAGAAGGCAGTAACATATTTAGGAAGCCAGGTGCCTTTGGCCTGCCTGTCATGGAGCCATTCCTCTGTGGAAGCCAAGATTGGCCTGTCGATGTTTGAGAAGCCACGTGAGGTTCTCCTGCAGGGCCTCCCACAACCACCCAGCGGCTCCTGTTGCTCAGCTCTTCCATGCATAAGGGGCCTCTTGTGCCCCTTTCTGCCTTTCAGAAAAGACAAATGACTTTCCTGCTGCAGTCTCAGCTGAGCTGTGGCACTGTAAAAATAACCACCACCCACTGATCTTATCTTGGACTTCAAATCTCTGGAGACTCTAGCCTTCAGGTGGAATCGTTAGACCACCCACCCATGCCATATCTAGCTAATTAACACCAGGCTCCAACTTGTTCCTATTCCTCATCCTCTTTGCTCACTGCCCTGCCTGAAATATCTGTGTCCACATATTTAATAACCAGAGAAACTGTCTGTCACTTCCCTTCCTAGTAATTCTGATGCAGTGCAGTACAGGTAAAGAAGGGGGTAACTATTCCACATCAGAGGCAGTCACATTTCAGTGGCAGGTGACTCAACGCTATGTACAATTTGCCGGGTGCTTTGTGATTTCAGATTGAAAGGTGGTATTATTTCATTGCGTTACAAGAACCCTTAGCAGCTCCAGCTGAGGCGAAGGGCCCCTGTTGAGATAGTGCCTTACGCACATAATAAGAGATGCCCCCTACTCCCAAAGAGCTTATAGTTTGAATAAACAAGAGAAAGAGTGGGAGAAAGGAAGTCATCCGATCCCCATGTATAGATAGTTCTGCAGAGAGAGCAGGGTATTCTCCCTCGGAGAGGCTGAGCTGAAGTCTAGGGTCTTTGAATCAGACTGTGTGCACCCAGCTAGAGACGTGGAGAGTGGCAGAGCTGGGAACTGATCCTCGATCTCAAGAGTCTCAGTCCAGTGCCTAGATTTTAAGACCATCTTTCCTCTATATCAAGGACTATAACAGTGAAACATAAGTGACTGGCATTGCTGATTCTTAGTTGAGAGCAAGCCAGAAATACACAAACCCTGTCGGTTTTAATTTTCAGTGCGCTTGAGCTTTCTCGGGAGCCTAACAGCCTTGCGACTTGGGATTGTAGAGGCTGCAGGATAAGGGAAGAGCTGGTATTGGGAGTCTCGCTCATGTTTCTGTAGTGTGTTCTCCAGTGCTTTGTTCAGCTTTCTTCAGCTGAATCCCAGCCTTGCTCTGCACTGCAAATGCCCTTTTCTCCCTGATCTCTGTAATACTATTGGCATTCTTTCATTTCTCTTGCAGAAAAGTTCGTGGCGAAGCCAAGAAGTGCCGTAAAGTTTATGGCATTGAGCACCGGGACCAGTGGTGCACAGCTTGCCGATGGAAAAAGGCCTGTCAGCGATTTCTGGACTGAGCGCACAAACACTTCAGGGGTTTGGAATCTCGCCCTCTCTCTCTGCTGAGAACACCCAAAGTCCGTCATTGCTGCAACCAGGGACCTTGGAGGGATCTCCTGCAGCTTCTGCGGAGACCTCTAGAGCTGCGTGTAAATTCCAAGTTCTGTATATTGTACATCTGCTGGGTTTATTATTTTTTACATTTTCCGTGGGATTTTTTGTTTTACAAAAGTTAAGAAAAATCCTCCCTTTTTATAGCAGAAATAGTGGAGGGGAAAGAAAGGAAGCAGGCTGTTTGGTGGTCATGAGAGATTTTTGGCTGTCCAGGGACCAAAGAACTTCTTATTGATCTTCTAGGTCATCAGTAAAGTCTCCTGAACTTTCAGGTCAAAGGTCAGGGCAAGGAGGTGAAGAGCATCTCTTCACCTTTCTTTAGTAGCTGAAAAAGCTCGAAGTCTCATACTCTTTAAAGGGACACTGTCAAAACGACAATCATAGCTTAAAAAAGAAAATGACCATGTGTTACCAGTAACACCTTTAATTAATACATTTGAAGTTCTTACCTATGCTGTTGGCCATTAATGTTGCAGTTATTTTTTTCACCTCAGTCAGTAGGTAAAACTAGATTGCTGTATCTCAGGTCTGCTTTGCTTCCTGATTTATATGTGTTTTGATGCAGTTGCAGGTGGAGAATCGCCACCATCCTTTAACTGAAAAAAAGCATTCAAAAGCAAAACTTAAATATTTCTTCTCTTCGATTTGGTTGTTTTACCAGGAACTGTTTTGTTTACTTCTTCGAAGAACACAAATTTTAGGTCTAGCAGTGTCCCTTTAAACTCAGGCAAATGATTATTTAAAGTCAAATACTTCTTCCTGAAAGGTCAGCAGAAAGGACTCAGAAAGGTGCTGCCTTAGCCTGGAGACATATGGATTTTGTATGGATTTAGGCACCGATTCAGCGAAGTGCTTATGGCCATGTTTAAATCCTACCAAAATCCCTGGGGTCTTAAGCAGATGCTTCATGAAATGGGATGGTTTGCATGCTGGAAGTCAAGTGCATGCTTATATCGTTTGCTGAATCAGTGGCAAAACGGGGAGATGTCGTAAAATCCCAAATTGTGGAGGGAAATTGAAGCATGTCTGAACTCTGCTTCCTGGCTTTCATCTGTTTATCCCATTCATATTATCTTCACAAGATTCACATATTTCTGGTTTTTGCCATGAATAATTTACTTGCCCTGGGAAGTAAATTAGACCCTGATTGCTGGATTCTAACTTGCAGTCATCTAATTTAAGTGGAGTGACTCCTGATCTGCGGGTTTAAATGAGGGGAGTCAAGTGCCAGGAGTCTATGCAGAAGTAGGGGGAGGGAGTGGAGGAGAAAAACCAAGGCTTGTAAAGATGTCTCTGCTCTGGAGAAGGGCACTGCTTATCTCACAACTAGAAGTCGGGTCTGGTTTCATGGTTTTGGTCTTTTGTTGTTTACTCGTGACTGATCAGCCATTCATAGGAAGCGCAGTGTCACTGCCAAGCAAACAGGATGCTAGATGCAGTGTCTCCCATCTTCCTCGCCGTGCGGCCTGGAGCACAAAAATCAAGGAGTTTTGTTTCATACCTCACCATTCTGTGTCCCGGGGGTGTTTCCATCACCAAATCCTGCCCTGGACATGCTGGTGGAAGCGGGTGTAGGCTGCGACGCCGCTCGGAGGATTCCATTGTGTTGTTCTGGTTGAGCGCAGTGCAGGGCACAGACATGCTCTGGCACAGTCACTAAGGAACCGTGATTTCTTTTAACGGGGGAAGAAATGCCTCTGTTACTAAAGCCATTCAGGTCCCCACACTCTGGTGCAGAGACTCCTGGTGCTGTGACATCTTGTCTATAAATGCGCAGTGGCAGCTACGCACGAGCCAGGCAGTCCGCTTTGTGCATAATTGGACGGCAGCGAGAGTTGGGGTTTTTTACGATCAGGGTGGGGTGGGAAGGGCTGGGCGGACTTTTTGCTGCATTTTTGATAATCAGAGGCCATAAACTACAGACCTCAACCCAAGGGCAGGCAGCTATGGCAGGAATGAACCTGGCATATTTTTAAGGACCATTTGATTGACTAAACTTTCCTTGTAAAAGCAAATCATCTGACCGGGAGGGTATTATTTTCTCACGAGTTCACGTGAGCCCTTTTGTTAAAGGGGTGGGCGGGGCACCCAGAGGGGTTTTTATATATATTATTGGTGCTTGTTGACCTTTTTTCGTAATTTTGTACATATATACAGTATATTGGTTAAACCCGGTCTTCTCTTCAGCGTTAAACTGGCGATTGCCAAATTGGCTTGTCAGAAACAGGAACAAAGTGAGCTCATCTCCCTGTTTTTTTCCTAGTCTGGTAGGTCTCGCTGCCAGGTCTGGTCCAGAACAATCAAGTTCTCTAGCTGGGAGCGTACAGCCTGATTCAAAGTCCACTGAAGACCCTGGCGGTCTCTCTGTTGACTTCAGAGAGCTCTGGCTCAGCCTCTGTCTCAGGGAGGGCATCCTCCATCACCTCGGTCCCCTCCACTGCTTTGTTCTTAGTCTGCAGACCACCATGCAGGGCTAGGAGAGTGAAAAACGCCGACTTGGAGCAGTGCGTTTTGGAAGCAGGCAAGGTGTTGGACTGATCTGTGCAGGTCATTGTAAAAGAAAACCCATACGAACCATTTAACACCTCTGCAGGACTTCACCTTTTACTAGATTAGGAGCAAGGTTGCAGAATTGGTTCCAGATGTGCCCTGTCTCAGCTGCCCCATTCGGAGAAAACCACAAAGGATACTGTTTATTGCAGCTGCCATTTTAATGAGGCAGGATTGTTCTTCCCAGTAGGGATGGTATGTCTGAACCTTGTTAGGGGAAGGATCGAAAAACCAGGCAGTTCTAAAATATATTCAATTTATTTTCTTGCTTCTTCATATAATTTAATGGTATTAATCAACCATTGCATGAATCCAAAGCAACTTTTAAAAAGTCTACAAATCTCTGAAATGCTTTGTTTTCAGGTGGACAAAGTTCTTTGGGGAGATGTGATGTCTTTTATTAGACCTAGTAAATAGTTGGAGAAATTGTTCTGGCGGTGTTAGTGTGCTCTCCTGGGTAGAATAGAAGCCAAAATGCAAAATCTGTGAAAATGCAAATGCGTGGCAGTAAGGTTCACAGGGAATGGGAGACAATGGTTGTGAGAAGGTAGTTGGAAGGGGGAGAAGGTGATAGAAATTGAAGAAATTGAAATTACTTCAATTTCATCCGCCAGCGGCAGCATCCGGGTTATTTATAAATTCTTTATTCCAGGCACCCGGGGCCCAATCTTGTAGTCTTTTCTTAACTCAGTGCCCCTTCCCCTCTTTTGTCTTCATGACTACAGTAGGCCTCTTCAGGAGAGAAATACCAGGAGGGTCACTCATGTGTAATTCTAATTTTGAGCTATCAGCTTGTCCCCGATTAGAGACAGCTGTAGTTTACACTACAGTGTTTATTTCAAGATAGTAGCTATGTCCTTTCCACCGCATAGGTTAAATTACAAAAGAAAGCCCATTGTCAGATTCCTCATGGCCTATTCCAGTGGTTCTCAACCTTTTCAGGACAGGGCACCCCTTCACCATTTTGTGATATGGTGGCATCCCTGGTTGTTGATCCTGCTTCAGCTTACTTCAGTGCTTCACAGCGGGGTTCGGCTGCCTCCAGATAAAATTGCCCCGTGCCTGCTGCACAGCCAGACCACAAGGAGCTGTGGCAGGGATGTACGCTCCTGCTGCATTAGGGCTCTGATCGGCCTAAAGCAGGGAAGAGCTGCCTTGTGCTTTCTCCAGTCGATACCCTCCTGCACGCCTCCCAAAAACAGGTCACGAGTAGAACTGTCTTCGTTGCAGCAGCCCTGAGAACCACTGATCTCTGCTCTATAGACACAGGCCAGGCCTGCAAATTCATCGTGTTTCCTTCATTAACATTATAGAAAGATAAAAGCTGACTAGACTCATTGCCTGAAATCCAAATTCTGTTAACTATTTCTCAGTTCCCTGTGTCGCCTGTCTCAGTTTTGGCAGCGAAAGGAGTGCCTCGTTCTTATTTTTCGGTCTGGTATCTGTCTATCTAAGATACGTAAAACCCCAAGTTACTGTACTATCTGAATGCCTTGCAATCTTTTAAGACATACAAAAAAATAGAGCTCTTGGTTCCAAAATGATACCTTTTATTGGATCAACTGGAAAATGGCAAGAAAATTGTCCTTTTCTGCAAGCTTTCGGGATCAAAGTCCCTTCGTCAGGCTCTGGGAAAAGTGAAGATGGTACAAGATGGTAAAAAGTCCCCGTAGGTAGGAACTAAACTTCATTTTTGCACAGAGGGAGCTGAAGATGGAAGTCTGTCCCTCTGGGTCTTTGTGAGCTGCGTTGAGTAGCTCTTGGATGTGTTGATCAGGTAGAATTCCTTCCCTGGAGGTGTCGGATGGCAGGCAGGGAGGCAAAAAAAACTTCCTTGTTCTGCAATGAAGTTTAAAATCCAAAATCGACTAAAATTCGGCATCTCCCATGTTTCAGAGGTGTACTTGGTAGCCGTGTTGGTCTGAGACAAGGTATTGAGTCTCACAGTGCCCCACAGGAAGGGTAGTACTGTTCCTATATTGCAAACAGAGAGGTGAGGCAAAGAATAACTCCGGGCTGGAGTTACCCCTAAATACCCCTAAATCTCACTAAGCACCTACAGATGCAGATGGGTGCCTAGTGAGATTTTCAAAGACAGCTCAGCACTTCATTGGATATATTCCCATCTCTCTCTCTCTCCCGCCCGTACACCTGGAGGAGCAGGGACTGTGGGGCCTTCTTCCTCATTTAGGAAGCTACAATTCATACGGTTGATCTGGATCACTCAGGAAATTTCAAGCAGCCATCCAGGCTCATGGGTGCTGATCCTGTGAACCTCTTCAAGGTTCAGTCCTTAATAACTGGTGAATAGCACTGGACAATCCAGAGGGTTCGTCCCAAACATTTTAGTGTGTCTTTTATATATATTATAAAGATCAGTTTTTCACTGGCAGAAGATTGGGTTTTTAAAAAAAAAAAAAAATAACATTTTGCTTTTGTTAAAGGGGATGTGTTTTAAAAAGTGTAAATGATTTTGGAATAAGCTGATTTTTTTTTAAAAGTGTAAATGATTTTGGAATAAGCAGTCAACTGTAAAAGCATGCGGTATACAGTATTCCCTCGATAAGCTGCACAAACTCTCGGCCAGAGGGAACGTAGAATCGATCTGTTGTTGCCGATGGTCTGTGCAAAGGAGTGCGTGGGATGGGGGCACATACCACTAACACACTAAATACAGTCCCCTGGCTTTGTTTCCCCCCAGCCTGCAGCACCTCTGGCTGGATACAGAGCAGTTTTTTTCAATGCCTCATCTCAAAATTAATAGCACTTAATTCGTTAAAGAGAAAAAGGATTACCTTTGCATAGGATTTTTTTTACATCAATGCTTTTTGAATGGATTTGAAAGGGGATGAGGAATTTCTATACCTTATTTTGAGGGCTTCTGCAGTACAAATTTAAGAGAAGATAATAGTTCTTGCTTACATCAGTGTTGTTTTGTCAGGGCAGAGGGTTTTTTGCTGGCAAAACTGGTGCAGGTGATTGGATTTTTAAATACATTATACATTTTTTCTAATGTTTGGTTCTGTTTTCCCCTAATGTTTATCACTCTGGTTTCCTAAATTTGGTGGATTTCACTTTTTCTCCTATTAATTCTTGCCCAGACTCAGGTCTTTAAAACATTTCAAATCTTAAGCAATTCCTCCAACAGTGGGTAACTCTTACCTGTGAGTTCAACTAAGAGACCCCTCCCATTCACACTTATCTGGTCTGGTTGTTTTTTGTACATGTGTATTATGTATGTACATAGGAACCTTGCTACTGGGCACTAATTAGGGACTATTCTCTATCCCACCTACACACTGTGACACCTTATTCTAGTTCATGGGAAATACCCCTAAAAGAGACATAGCAGTTGTGTTGTATGCCCCTCCCACTCCATCACTCCATACCCCATTGGACTAAAGTCATTAGAAAACGTCACGTGGACAGAGGACGTAACGTGATTGATTCTTGGTGAAGTTATGGCACACGGAGGATTGTGAAAGGGACAGGACATTTATTGCCAATAGCCACTCATACGATGGTGACATGTTATCCAGCTTAACGGGGGTATGCGTGTATCAGTGAATTTCTGTCTTGTTGGAGCTTTTTTCAGCTGTCTTCCAAGTATTATTTTTATTGTAAAAAAAAATGAAAATGAAAATGTGAAACGTAATTTTTACAGCAGCAATATGAAATATATTTTATAAGAAATAAAAAGAAAAGTTGCCTGATATCAGCTCCCTGGTCTCCCCCTTTATTTTCTAGGACAGGTAAAACATATGAGTGTTTCGGCTTTGGTATTTATTACCTGTTTCATTGTCTAGACTCTCGCCTTATGTTGTTGTCCTGAAGTTCTGGTGTGGATGCTTTTCTTTCCAGGAGACTGCAATTTGAGGCCGTTTATACTTAACTAAGGACTTTCTTGGTACACTCTAGCTCAGGGAAGCCAAGAGGCTTGAATGGGAGCTCCCTGATGCCATTGCGGATTCACATCAACTTGAGAGTTTCCTTACAAAAACCTTTCTGCTGACCGGGCCACGGGTCAGCTTTGTGCCAGCTGACTTGAATGCAATCAGAAAAAGAAGTTTAAGAAACTATGGGCATGTCTACACGTTTATTAATGCACCTTAGTTACTGCGCATTTAGTTTAGTACCTCTAATAAGAGGTACTAACTGAACGCGCAGTAACTAGAGTTACTGCACAGTAGCACCGGCACACGGTTTCTTAGTGATGCTTACTGCGCATTAACCTAATCACACCGAGCAGTAGGCTATTAGCATGATTAATAACCGCTACACTACTGCGCAGTGTAATTAGGCTAATGTGCAGTAAGCGTCTCGTGTAGACGTGCCCTGTGAGCCTAAATTCTGCCTGGAGTCTTTTAACATCTCTTTATTTCTTGTTATGTGGCAGGGAGGCTTAGAAGTCGATTGTGTTGAAGCAGGGCAAGCACTCAAGTGGGGGGAATTTTATGATCCCATCCAAAATATGGCTCTCTCATGCCTATCCACCGCCATCTCTTTCCCCCCAGATCCTGGGGTGCTGGTGGGAGTTTATAGATGTTAAAAAACCCTGGGGGCTGGGTATTCTCCCTTCTGATGCGAGGCATGGAATAAGCACCGTACTGCTCTGCACTACATTCCCCTTCCCTTCCAGTCCCTTCGGTTGGGGCCACGGAGGGCTGAGGGTAGGGTGGCCATTCGTCCAGTTTTATAGAGGACAGTCTGGTTTTCTGTCCTCTGCTGGACACTTTTATGTCCTCTATTTTTCAGCGCTCTGTTTTTCAGCGCTCAGCAGTGGCCCATCACCGACACCACCATGGCTGTTTGTGGGAGCTCCCCACCATGACACTTCTGCCATCGGCACTGCCACCGCTGCCTGCGGTAGCTCACCATGCCCTTCCAGCCTTAGGAGGCCTGGTGGGGGGCACTGCCCTCTATTTTTGAGGTACCTCGATGGCCACCCCAGGTGTGGGCTTCACATAGGTTGAGTGGTGAATGTCTGCAGCACCGTTTTAACAGCTCCTTCTGGCCCAGTTGCCACAGCCACGATTCCCTCATGGCAAGCTAACGCCGGTGTGGCGCATGGCCATCCATCCAGAGCAGCGGCACGTGCCACATCTTGCATGGATGCAGAGCCTTGCTTCCACCCCAAACACTTCCTGAAGTCGAGTTGCAAGATGCATGGTACTCATGAGGGATACGCACCACGCGAGCCCCAGAATAGACCAGATGCCTTCATCCTTGCGCACTACACTCAAGCCTCGGCTGTTCTCAAATCGACGGCCAAGAGCCCTTCCTTCGTGTCAAAGGTGTATTTAGAAATAAACCCTTTGGATGCTGGAGCTCTTCAAAGGGTTGTGTTCGTTCTTGCATTTTGAATGGCAGGGACTCTTGCCTGGGTTTTTTTCCACCCACTCTGTGGATGGTACGGGGGCTGGAGAGGAAACATCAAGGATTTCAGCCCTGACTCCTGATTCGGGGGTGGGGGGGGCCTCCGCTTTTGGGAAACAAATTGGCACTTGATGTTTACAATGCATCTTCTGGAAATCAGACCCCGTTCATGTGTCTGCAGCCGGGCACCCCAAGTTGGAGATCATCCATCCCTTTGGAAAACCTCCTGCACCGTGTTGATGCACCGACGCCCAGGTCGTTTGGGCCAGGAAGAATAAATTGGTTGCACCGAACATTTTAAAGAGAGTGGATACTTCCTAACAAAATAAAACAGCTTATTTTTAATTGGGCAAACCAAAACCCCCCAAAATATACATTTGCACATGCTCGTTGTTCTATCCTTGGCTTCACTATGGGGAAAAGATATATTTCTTATACAGGCCGTTTCGCTATAACACTCATTTGAAATCGATACCTGATTTCACGTAGCGCTTGGCGAGTTTCGTTATAACGCTCGCGGTCGCCACCTTGGGTCATTAAAAACACTTGTGGTCGCCGTGTTGGGTCGTCAGATACTTTTGGTTTTGCTTAACGCGCGCTTAACCAGAGCACTCAATGGGGGTCGCCTGTATGTCATGTTAAAAAAAGGGTGCGAGTTGTTGTTTTTTAAAAATAAATTGTAAGTGATCTTCAGTGTCACAAAACTGAGCTTGCTCGAGCCATTTAAAATGAGAAAGCAGTAGAAAACAGTGCGACTGTCTACGTTTCTTATAGTCCCTGTTGTTTTAGGATGCGAAAGCCTCCCGCTCTTCAGTGTGTTCATTGCCACCGTCCTCTGTGAGAGCTTCATCGGGACAGCGACTAAACTGAAGCACAGAAGAAAGAAGTTCGGGGTTGCGCTGGAGGTCTGATAGGACGGGGCCATGAACGTGGCTCTCTCTTGAGCCCCCAGCTATCGCTCGAGCTGCTGCAGCATCCGTCCTTCCTCGTGCAAGGAGCAATCCCGCAGCGCTGCATGGAGGAGCATAAGTTAGACGTGGCCAAGGGGAAGTGTACCCTACCACCCACTTCTGACTCACTGCTGCATTGCCACGTCTCTGGGAGTGTTATTCTCTACAATATGATGATTGAATGTCTCTTCCTGTTTTCCAAATTGTCAAGGCAGGAATTCAAAAAGACGTTGTCAGTATAAATATCACATTTAGCCTGCCATGTTTGCCGGCTATTGTTACAAATAGCGTGTACGATAACTCTAACTAAGAGATAAGATTAAAAAAAAAGTGTTTTTCTTTATTTCCCAATTTATTTACTCAGTGCTTTTGACAGCCTTTCTGTGGGGAGTCGTGTTCATCATTTTCCTGCGCAGTCGGTTTCTGCTGTTGTTTGCAGGTCTTTCCTACCGCGACCGGGGAGAGAAAATATTTAAAAATAGGAAAATGGAATTGCAAAACACACATCTTGGCAGGAGGCATTTAGGGACAGCTATAGCACCTGAAACTATTCAAATTTTCGCTGACTAACTGTAAGCTGAATTTGTCTTTTTATAGGGTATATAGCAGCAGATATCCATCAATATACAATTCAAAAAGCAGGTCTGGGAGATAGTCAAAGCCAACCTTAAGACTTT